CTCATTAAAATGGGATATGCCATTGGCTCTTTTTTGAGGAACCCATAATCCCAGAGAAGGGGCTGACCTCTGCGTAGGGGATGCTTGTATAACCTTTGGGCAACTGCATTTTATACCTGATTGCTGCTTCCAGTCTGCCTGACAGACCCACAGATGATATCCCTTCACATTTCTGCTAGATATCTCTAAAGAAACCATTGACAGCTGTCCCAGTGGATTCAAATATCTGTTTCTCGCAGCCCGCAGCAGTCTGTTAAGTCATAGGTTTGATAGTCGATGGTTTCCGCAAAGTCATGAGGGATCCCGATAGAGACAGACTCTACCTCTGTTTTGTAGGTGGCTGTCATCCCCCCTTTGCTGGAGCCACCCCGGATTTTGTTAGAAAGGCTGTTCATCTTCTCCTTCAGCTGGGTGGATGCTGGTTTCTGGAAAGGAGTGAGCATTTTCCAGCCCTTGAAGCTGAGTGTTCGCCTCTTACTGGCTCTCTCCTGCAAGGAGGAATTAAATATGAATGAGCTGTTCAGGGTGTTAATCCTGGGCCTCAGGTCCGTCTCAGGGTCTTGCACTGAGCTGTTCATGGAGGCCCCTCTCCAGTGATGGTCGTAGACACGCCAGATGGGCCGTCTTCTCCGGTGGCATTGACACTTGAGCAGCCTGATGAAAGCTCGCTTGAACTCTTTGCTGGAGCATGGGTAGATGATGGGGTTCACGCAGCTGTTGAAGTATCCCAGCCAGAAGATGACCTTGAAGACAATTTCAGAGGGCTTCAGAGATGGGAAGAAAGAACCTTGGAAGAGAGTAAAAGAAATATGGTTAGAGGAAGGGGAAGGGTATGGCAGCGCAGGGAAGCAAGGGTGGTGGTCAGCCCAGTCTGGAAGAGGTGAGACCTGCAGAAAAGGCTGAAGGTGTGATTCTGCTATTAGGTCCTTGGCTTGCAATGCTGTTGCCACCAGAGTGAAGAACTGACCACTACAGAACTGCAAGGCATCGACCCTGAAGTGATAATGACTGATAATACTATGTCTTTGGCAGAAGCCTCTTAGCCCCCACTGCAAAAGGGCTCCTAGCAATGGACCCAGCACCCTCAAATACAGCTGTGAACCATCAAGGCAAGCCCATACAGCTGGAGGGAGGCTGTTAATTGTTGCAGCAGCTACATGAGCATGGGGTGGAAGAGGATTTTTCTCACACCTTTCTCCAGACCACCATCCAGCTAAAGCCAAGTCCAGCATGTACTCTGGAGGAGAAAGTCCTGCTGCAGGACCAAACAGCCCTATGGCCATACCTGTCTCCCTCACTGTGAGTTCAGCCACCCTGCTATGAATTGATGCAGGAGACTTGCACCCAAGAGGTATCTTCCATATCTAGGGGCTGGGCTGCTTTCTGAGACACTACAGCAGTAGCTGAGGGCATCATTTTTGGGAACAAGTTCAGTGGTCTCCATGCCTCCCTAGTTTATCAGCACAAGGGAGCCAGGTCCCATCCCATTCCACATCAGACTGAGAAAATTATTGCTTGGATGATGATGGGATGCATCAAAAGAAGCGTGGCCAGCAGATCAAGAGAGGTGATTCTGCCCCTCTACTCTGCATTGGTGACAGCCCACCTGGAGTGCTGCGTCCAGCTCTGGAGTCCTCAGCACAAGAAAGACATGGACCTGTTGGAGTGGGTCTAGAGAAGGGCCACAAAAATGATCAGACAAATGGAGCACCTCTCCTATGAGGACAGGCTGAGAGAGTTGGGGTTGTTCAGCCTGGAGAAGAGAATGCTCCGTGGAGACCTTATTGCAGCGTTTCAAGCACTTAAAGAGGGCTTATATGAAAGACGGGGACAAACTTTTTGCAAGATCTGTTGCAATAGGACAAGGAGTAATGTTTTTTAACTAAAAGAGGGTAAATTTAGACTTGATAGAAGGAATAAATTTTTTATGATGAGGGTGGTGAAACACTGGACCAGATTGCCCAGAGAGGGGGTAGATGTCCCATCCCTGGGAACATTCAAGGTCAGGTGGGATGGGGCTCTGAGCAACCCAATGATTTTTGAGATGTCCCTGCTCATTGCAGGGGGTTTGAGCTAGGTGACCTTTAAAGGTCCCTTCCAACCCAAACTATTCTATGATTCTATGATTCTGTGTTTTGCAGGGATTAGTCCTTGGTGCCTGCTTTTCCTACGTGTTGCACTGCACAGTTCACCACTGCAATGTAAAAGGATGGATACATCCCTGGCATCTGCACTAATGGAAGAGCAACACCCCTTCACCTCCTACACTCACATATTTTGAATCATCAGCGTCACACACCCTCCATTCAAATTTTGCAGTGATGCTAAGCTGGACACTTAAAGTGGACTCAGGTAATATCCACCGCCCCAAGCTTGTACCTGCTACTTGAAAAAGCTCTTTTGTCCACTCCAACTCCTATTTACGCTTTTGTGCTGGAGGTTCCCAGGGGGTTTCTTGGCGAAGAAGCTGGCGATTTTTTTGCGACCAGAAGATGTCAGTGTTGCTCCCCTATGGCCCCATCACTTAGCATTCCCCACTCAGATCTGAAATAACTCTCTGAGTCAGCCTTAATTTCTTTTAATTTTAGCTCTGAATGACAAATTGTGCCACCATGTGACTGAGCGTTAATTTGTATTTTAGTAAATAACATTAGCTCTGGATATCATTATTAATTTTCCTGTGCTCAAAAGCCTGGTGTCAAAACAGTAAAACAGGTGCCAGGAGCCAGGAATTTGGGACTGACGCAACATAAAAATCTCCCCAAGCTGTTTGCTCGAGAAAACCCATCATCCAGGAAACCCAGAACACTGGTTCCAGCACAGCTTTCTTACACTCATCCCTAAAAAGTGCAGAAATTACAGCCAGACTCAGCATTAGGTATGTGGGCTACTCCATCATGGAGACATTGGAGAAGAAAGACAGATCTCAGCATTTTCTGGTGGTTAGGCAGGGAAAGCACAGATGCAGCCATACAGCTTAAATATCTGCTGAAGGTCAACCCAAGTCGTAGGGCTGGAGTGCACGCTGGCTATTGATATGTGCTGAAGGAGGCATTGAATAAGGAAAGTAGGCAGGACTGACATCTCTGAGCTGGAAAGACCTGGGACCTTCATGGAAATGAATGGCATTTGCAGTTTACTGAGCAGCTGCTGGTGGTGTAGCCTGTGGTTTTGAACAGAGCAGTAACATCAGGGTTAGGTTTTGTAGACGTTGTTTTTGATTAAAGGGGTTTATTCTTTCTGGGACAGTGGTGAGCTTTATAGGTTGACACTAGGCTGCTTGAATCACCACATCCAATTCTAACCACAGCAGAAAAACCACCCCTGAGTGTTTACCCAGGAGTTTTCAAACACCTCAGTGATGATGAGGACAATCCCCCTTTGCATTGCACATAGCATCTCCATTCTTCACCAACCTGATCTCGACCAGCATCTCCAACCCAACCATGGCTTTGAGCCTTCCCCCTTTCTCACATTGCCCCCCACCCACCACCCTGGACCTACAGGCACTATCCGATGCTTTGGGTAATGTGGACCAGTAGTGGCTTTCCAAACCCAGCATCAGTTCCTCTCCTCAAACTCAGGTGTTGGCAGTAGAGGATGGGTCTGTTTTCCTGCCCAGACTCCCCCGCTCTCCATCCTGCCCATGGACCAGCCTCTACCCAGAGCCCTGTGCTCTCCGCAAGGCAATCCCTGGCTCTCAGCCCTAAGACATTGTCCCAGCTTGACCCTGTCATAGCTCAGTGTGAGCATTCGGGGTGAAGACAGGTGAAGGACTTCATTAAGCATGTAATCCTGCTCATTCCCTTGTTGGTGAGAGGTTTCGTGCCTCAGTTTCCCCACTGGAGAAGGGGCCTAATTACCATAAACTCTTTCACAGAGTTGCTGTGAACCCTGTTTGCAGCGTGCACTGGGTTCTCAGAGGAGCTGCAGCTTTATGTAGCATTTTTAAACTTTGAGAGAGAGGAAAAGAAAACAAAAAGCTATGGTAACAAAGCAAATAAAAGAAGGGTCTCCTTAGAAATGAGACTAGTAATTACTGCTTGAGCCAGGCTACTTAAGAGATTGGTGCTTGCTTAAACAGCCTGATGGCTGTTAAAATAATAACTCACATCTAGTGTTTAGCGGGTCATTGCACAACGCAGTTTCTGTACTACATGCTTTGTCTTTTGCATCCAGATAAAAAATACAAATTGAAAAGGAAAAAAAAGCTATGAATTCTCTGAATTTCAATTTTGGCTGTTTTTCACCCGCTAGAACCTTCTGTACATCTGAAGACAAGGGGCTTATTACCATCCTCATTACCATGCAAATAAGCGTGCCCCTTGGAAGAGACGTGTACTGAGTGCATCCATAGTTTTCCTCATTTGATCACACTGGGATGAACAGAACCAGGCAGGGAGTTCCCAGAACAGGTCTTTGGCTGGTAACTTTGCACATGCTGGTGCATCAGACTCTCTTGATAGATAGGCACTGGGAAGCTGCACGTAAGGAAGAGTTGCAGCGCCTTATTTGGGGAATGAGTAAAGAATGGAAGGAATTAGCTCTTGCTTTCATACACATTTTGAGAGAAGAAGGGGTTTTGTGCTGGTCTTTGTAACATTACTATAAAGGAGCACAAATGTTGTTAGGATGCATGGAAGACAGTACTGAGTAATGGACACTTGAAGTGATCAGGAAACACAGTTGGGTGTGTGCAAGGTCCAGAGACAGAAAATGGGAGTAAAATATCAGGTATAGCAACACAGAGTGATGCACCAGCACTTTGGCCTGATATCTCAGTGGAAGAGCAATTTTTGATGATCTGGCCCCAAAAGCATCAAAGCTAGAACAGGGCAATATCAAAGAACAAGAAGCTCAAATACTGTAGGAACAGTGTCACAGTACAAGTTTGTAAAACCTAGTCTTGTTTCAAAGAGGAGCTCTTCCTACTCACTCAAAATCAGCCCTCTGGACAACTCTCTTGGGCATCCAGCTCAACATTTCATGCCAAAGCTTGGTGTTCTTTCCAAAGGAGGAGGTGCTGACACTCACCTTGGGGACATCTACCTGTGGGGTGGTCTTGGTGTGGTGAGCACTATGTGCAGTATGTGTGCTGGGGTCCAGCAACCCCCTGACATGCTGGAGCATCTGCAACCCCAGAGCCCTCACAGGGAGAGGACAACGGAGACATGGCTTGCCGTTGGTCTTCTTGAACAGGACTGCTGCTTTTGGGGCTAGTGCTCCCAGCAGGGAAGTCTCCATCCAACTTAAACAATTCGTAGAATCATAGAATCATGGAATGGTTTAGGTTGGAAGGGACCTTAAAGATCATCTAGTTTCAACCCCGCTGCCATGAGCGGGGACACCTCCCACTAGACCATGTTGCTCAAAGCCCCATCCAACCTGGCTTTGAACACTTCCAGGGATGGGGCATCCACAGCTTCCCTGGGCAACCTGTTCCAGTGTCTCACCACCCTCAGAGTAAAGGGTGAAAAAGCAAAAGAGAAACACAGAGACAGCCTGGGGAGTAGGGACAGACCTCTGAGGTGCCCCTTCTCTACTCTTACTGCCTGCCCAGTGGTGCTCGCTCTCCTTATGGATGGAGGATCCTGGTTGTATCTCAGTGTAGGATGCTCGCAGGTAGGGTTGGAAGCAGAGCCTCGTCCTTCATATTTCCCACTGCCTTGTTGAGAAGGCTTAGTGTTGGTTTATGGAGATTCTGCTGAGGACTTTGTCTTCTCCTAATAAATAACAATTTTATAATACTGCTGGGGGCTTGAAAGTCCATTTGGGGCCTTTATACCT